AGTCAAGGCTACAGTGAGCTGTGATCACACCACTGTACTTCAGCCTGGGTGACAAAAGAAGACCCTGTTTCAAAAAAAAAAAGAAAAAAAAAATACTGATTACAAAAAGAAAAAAAAAGGCTGAAATTTATTTCTCAGGCAACCGATTTCAATGTTGAGAAAACTGTTGCTGGTTTTTGGGAGAAGCAGGTTCCTGTTCCGTGTCCTTCTTCAGAAGCATCAGAGCATTTTGGCCAAGAGTTTCTCAGTGCCATACCCTTGGAACCAAAGTCAGAGGCTTTTCCAGTGTTTCCAGACTCTGTGGTACCCGTATTCCAGAAACAGAGTTTAGTCGCTCAAACCTTTGGCTTTTTAATCAGATAGTTGGCAAGTTGCTATTTGCTGCTCACAAAGAATTCTGTCTTTGTGAAAAGCACACCTGTTGATTTAGAAAGGTCTTTTCCCATTGGGGTTGCATGTTTAACGTTTCTTAGCAAATATTCCCAGCATGGGTACCACCCTCCAGAAGTACATATGGCCATCTACATTCATGAGGAATCAATCTTGTTAAGCCTGCTGGAAGAACACAGGACCTAAGGATGTCAACCATGCTCAGGCCTGGTTGTGAGTGGTCATTAGACTATCAAGTAATCAAGGACCCTAGCTGGTCACAAATACCAGCCAGGAGTATCCAAAGTTATCCTGTCTCATATTACAACCACTTACACATCACTAAGCCAGTTCTTGGCCAGAATATCTTTAAAAATAGATCTAAATAAATCTAAAAGAAAATATTCCCAATTTCCTCTTCCATGAACACATGTAGCTTATTTTGGATTATATTTTTCCACTGCATTTTGATCTTCATAAATGTTTTTCAAGTCTGATCTTTCTGTCCTTATTACTATGTCTTTCTATTCCATTCTAGGAAGCAGTAACATCTGGAGTAGAAAGATGCCTCTAATTTCCTTAGGCAGAGAGAACACACCAGGGAGAAAGGCTTCAGTGCTTCTCAAACGACTCTGAGGGCAAGAACGACTGAGGCATTTGTTAGAAATACTAATTCCCAATTTGGGCCGCTGAAGAGTCGGATTTGATAGGCTTAAGGTGGTACCCAGGGTCTTCCTTCCTGTCTTCCTTCCTGTCTTCCTTTCTGTCTTCCTTCCTTCCTTCCTTCCTTCCTTCCTTCCTTCCTTCCTTCCTTCCTTCCTTCCTTCCTCCCTCCCTCCCTCCCTCCCTCTCTCCCTCTCTCCTTCTTTTCCTTCCTTCCTTCTTTCTTTCTATTTATTTATTTCTTTCTTTCTTGGATGGAGTCACACCTCAGCTTTGAGAGTAGCTGGGACTGGAGGTGTTCATCACTAAACCTGGCTAATTTTTTTATTTTTTATTTTTATTTTAGAGATGTAGTCTTGCTGTGTTGCCCAGGCTGGTCTTGAACTCCTGGCCTCAAACAACCCTCCCATCTGGGCTCCCCAAAGTACTGAAATTGCATGTGTAAGCCACTGAGTCCAGCAAGACCTCTCATTTATTAAGCTACTGGGACATTGTTATCATCAGGGCAGTTTAGGATCAATTAAAGTAGGTTCAAAAAATACCTTTACAGGATCAGGACCACCAAGAGAGGCTGTGCAGGTTGCACTCTGCCCAGCCAAGTAGGGAGGAGAGGGGCTGAAATTTTACCAGCCCTGATGGCCAAAATGTGCTCACTGGCAAGAGCATGGGGGAACCTGAGAAATAAGGGCTTTTAAATTGGTGCACCCACTGGAGGTACCTTTTTCTCACTGGGACCGCGCTGCATGTGTGTCAGCTGCTGGTCCAATCAGAACGGCCTACAGCTCTAGTTATGTGCACAGATTCCTGGGTTCTTACCCCAGATCTGTTGAAACAGCATCTCTAGGTTGGTTCTATTTTAAACCACTCCTGCCACTCCCAGCACTGTGACTCTCATATATATAAAAGTTGGAGAACCACCAAGTGCTTAGATCCAAAGCCTTTATTTATTTATTTAGAGATGGAGTCTCACTCCATCACCCAGGCTGCAGAGCAACGGCAAATCTAGGCTCACTGAAACATACGCCTCCGAATTCAAGCAATTGTCCTGCCTCAGCCTCCCGAGTAGCTGGGATTACAGGCACCCACCACCACACCCAGCTAATTTTTTTGTATTTTTGGTAGAGACAGGGTTTCACCATGTTGACCAGGCTGGTCTCAAACTTCTGACCTCAGGTGATCCATCCACCTCTGCCTCCCAAAGTCCTGGGATTACAGGCGTGAGCCACCACGAGATCCAGTCTTTTAATAGCAATCTCTTTGACAGACATGACTTCATATTCTTTTCATCCCTAATCTTTGTGGACTTTTCAACCCTCATCAGAGGTGCAGGCTTGAACCCGGAGGCGGAGGTTGCAGTGAGTTGAGATCATGCCATTGCACTCCAGCTTGGGTGACAAATGAGACTCCATCTCAAAAAAAAATTGCAGGTGGCACTGAACAGAAATTAGCAAGGACCTGGGACTAGTGATCTAATAGTACAACCTAAAAAAGCAAAGTCCATAGGTCCTCAGTCCCTTGAGCCAAAAGGTATTCTACCTGTTCCTAATACCTTTGGACCTGGAGTCTACTTATAATAAATACACAGACCCCAACTGTGACTGTCACTACTGGAGGTCAATGACCACTGCTCCTACCTGCACTGCTATGTCAATACAGAACCTATGTCTCCCTCAGTTTCCTCTTAGTTTCCACATTTTCCTGGATTCTGTTCCTTAGGCTCCAGTCCTACTGCAACTCATTTCAAAGTATGTCTCTATAGACTTTGCAAGGTCCCTGAACCTAATCTCCGTTGATATTTTGTCTTATACCTGTTGCATTTCTTTCCGACCTTGATTCTCTTTGCAGCTTTTCCTCCCCACCTCCCTGACTTCTCACCACCTGATGAACCTTTATCCACAGTGCCGGGGACATGCCCTCAGGACACTCTGGCTTCCTTCCTGTGGGACAGAACAAATACCTCTGGATACCTACAGCCAATGAGGCTCCATGGGGGCTACTCAGGAACAGATTTTATTGAATTGTTTTCAATTTTAGTGACTTGGATGGATGTTGTTGTGTCCGAGTCAAACACATTTCACAATTTTGAGACCCAAACACATTTGAATCCAACACATTTCACAAAATTGAGACCCAAAGCAGAACTAAATGAGCATCACTTCAGGTCTGCCTGTAGGCCTTCCATTGGGATTTAAACACTGATGCCCCATTTCTTAGAATATTTTGTTAGAATGTCCTTTTGAATCTACATGCATTTCCCCCCTCAATCCCTGCCTTCTGAAACAGGGAATGCCTAGAAGCGCTTGTAGTTTTACCCACTCTGAGATGCAGGGAGAGATTTCTTTCCCATTTTTGGACTCATTTTTCACATTATTTCAGATTGCTGCTGATTCTTCTACTGATAACCAGGTTTCTCCTACTCCAGAGTTTAGGTAATTTTATTAGATGTGTCTAGAAAGTAAGATACTTCACTTATGGAATAAACTGGTCTCTAATGTGTTTTTGCATGGCTTCATGTAACAGAACCATAATATAGGAGGAGATCCAAAATAATTCCTTATTTTTTTTGGTTTGTTTTTTGAGATGGAGTCTCACTCTGTTGCCAGGCTGGAGTGCAGAGGTGCGGTCTCTCCCGAGTTCAAGGGATTCTCCTGCCTCAGCCTCCGGTGTAGCTGGGATTACAGGTGTGCACCCCTATCCCCAGCTAATTTTTGTATTTTTAGTAGAGATGGGGTTTCACCATGTTGGCCAGGATGGTCTTGATCACTTGACCTTGTGATCAGCCCACCCTGGCCTCCCAAAGTGCTGGGATTACAGGCGTGAGCCACCGTGCCCAGCTCCTTAATGTTTTTAAATAGCTTTCTAGAGGTAAACAAAAAACAAAAAAACAAACCTAGATTTTGGGGAAATCATTAGTTAGGGGAAAAAAACACCACTGTAATCTACTGATTCTTCCTAGAAACAACTATCACATCACCAAGACTGACTGGATAGAGGACTTGTTATTAGCACAGGATAATCAGAAAATGGCCATTTCTGAACATGAAAGGCTATATTTTATCTATTCAATGTTATTAATGAAGTGCACTATTTTCTTCTATAATACAAGTTTTAGTCTTATTAAGCAATTATTTTCCCTTCAGACGTCCCCCCAGAAAACTGAATAATGGATAAATAATCATACTGATTTTCCATGTAACTGGACTCAAGTAATCATTGCCGACTCTCCTTAGCAGAGTTAAACATCCTGTGAACACAAATTTCCTGAAAAGCTCTGCTACATGATGCACTTTCAGTGGCCCTGTGTATGGAGATCAGTGAGTCAAAATAAACCCTTAGACTGAAAGTGAAGCTCAACCTGGAACAGAACCACTGCCACCAGACAAGTTTCTATATGTGGTTGAGGGACCAACTCCAGTAATGGTGACACACTAGTGCAGGTGGTAACAGTAATGGGGGTGACACACTAGTGCAGGCGGTAACATTTCAAAGGAAGAGAAGGTTCAGGCCACATCCAGTCACCATGAGTCACCAGCCTCAGAGGACTGGGAACGGCTTATGCAAATTATCAAATGCAGTTCAATTACCCAGCATTGTTTTCCTCACCTGCAACTGTTTGTCTTTCATTGTAGAACCAAATACCACATGTTCTCACTTACAAGTAGGAGCTAAACGATGAGAATTCATGGACACATAGAAGGGAACAACAGACACTGGGGCCTTCTTGAGGATAGAGGGTGGGAGGAGGGAAAGGAATAAAAAATGTAACTATTAGGGTCTATGCTTAGTACCTGGGTGCCAAAATAATCTGCACAGCAAACCCCCATGACACGAGTTATATATATAGAAACCTGCACATGTTGCCCTCAACCTAAAATAAACGTGTAAAAAAATGCACCAGAGAATATGTCATGGAAAGGGAATTTCTCTTTTATGTGCAATACAGAAGAAAAGAAAAGCCCTTCTCTTACCTGGATAATGTGGAAAATATTTCATTGCTGTGCACACTGTGATAGGTTGGGTTGAGGGAGGGGAGAGGTTGGAGGCTGGGAAGCCAGGTGGACTCCACAGAGCATGGCTCCTTCTCCTGGGGTGTCCCCATCTCGTGTTCTGTCCTGGGGAGAAAGTATATCAATGCTTGAATATTAACCACCATTCCCCAAAGAATGGGCTTCTGAGCAGAACAAGATTTGAAAACTAGAATTTATATTTCAAAAGCTTTGGAAAAGTGATCTCTTACCTCTCTTTGCTGATTGAGGGAGAACCCTAGGAAACTGTTGGGAGTGTTTTGATTAAAACTTTTGCCAGAGTAATGGATGGGCTTATGTTTTTCTTTTCTTCTTTCAGTCTCTGGTATAAAGTCTCAGCAAGTCAAATCTGGGGGGATGTGAGGAATGAAACAAAGGGGAGACAGTTCTTAGTGTCAGGGTTCTGGTTCAGATAACAATTCAAAGTGTATAATAAGCCCAGAAACATCTGGAATCCATTCAACTGGCCTGGCAGGGTTGCAAGAAAGACTCTCATGAGATTTGTCTGTTACTTCCTGCCCTAATCAGGACATGCATGTGTGAATATCTTTTCCCAGTATGTCTCTACTTTCAATTCCAGGGGAAATGGCATATGTAGGTATGATTGGAATGTGGAATTAGACAATACATTTTGCACATTATTATTAGATGATTATTTCCATAGACCTCCAGTGGTCAATAAAATCTGTCTGGTAATTCACATAAAGTGTAATTTTAATAGAGCTCTATTTTTTCATATGTTTATACATATATGTGTGTATATGTATATATATTGAACACATATGTAATATATATGTATGTTTATTATATATGTATTATATATCATTTATAATATATACATATATATTTTTAAAATGAGGAGGCCTGGATGGTGGCTCACGCTTGTAATCTTAGCACTTTGGGAGGCTGAGGTGGGCAGATTGCCCGAGGTCAGGAGTTTAAGACCAGCCTGGCCAACATAATGAAACTCCATCTCTACTAAAAATACAAAAATTATCTGGGCATGGTGGCATGCACCTGTAATCCCAGATACTCAGGAGGCTGAGGAAGGAGAATTGCTTGAAACTGGGAGGTGGAGGTTGCAGTGAGCTGACTTTGTTTCTCTGCTCCAGCCTGGGTAACACAGTGAGACTCTGTCTCCCAAAAAAAAAAAAAAAAAAAAAAAGAAAGAGAGCAAAACATTATTGTGTGCAGAGATACAGATATAGAAATGCTAGAATCTTTTTGTGTTTCAGGAAAAAGAATATGGTAGCACCATACATGAAGAGACATGATTTTAACTCTAGTCAAAGTCTTTATAGGAAAGCATAACGTAAAATTTTAAGACTTCTTTTCTGTATATCTAAAAATCAGTTACAGCAATTGGCTTAATGAAAAAAAATAGATAAGAATAACACTTAGAATTTCTGTACTTCTCTCCAGGGAGCAACTGCTTAGTACTATAAAGAACTGTAAATATTAATATTTTCTGTTTACAGGGAAAGCTTGAGCATTATATTAGAAGTTTCAAAGACTAACTTCTAAGCCCTGAGCCTTTGCCAATATACTACATTTATTTTTGGCTCTGTGCATGCTTATAGTTTGCTAATACCCCAGTTTTATGCAGGCTTTGATTTTTCTTTTTCCCAAAAGATCTGTCCAACACTCCTAAGAAATTCCCCTCTCTGACAGGTTAGTGACTTTTCCATAGGGGTTAAATGCACCAGTTTGGCTCATTTGGAAGAAACATATAAAGCCAGCAACAGCAATGGAGAGAACACCCAGGAACCCAGTGCTGGGGCCTCATGTCACATCAGAAATGATTCGTCAGCAATACGGTAAGAGTACCCAGGGCAAACAACTTCCATTTCACCACTGGACTGGAAAATAATAATAGAGATGATTTTTTTTTAATGTTGTTTTAATTTTTGACATCTTGTCCTCAGTAGTACCTTTGATATATATATGTACGTACGTGTGTGTGTGTGTGTGTGTGTGTGTGCGTGTGTTTACAATCTTAGACTCTATCCTTCCTAGTTCCTGAAATACTTGATGGGAGATTTTACAAGTGAAGGAGTACTCCTCCAGGCCAAACATGTGGATAAGAGAATTACAAAAAGCAATTTAAAGACAGCCAAATCAAGAACGAACTGCCATTCACAATTGCTACAAAGAGCATAAAAGAGAATAAAATACCTATGAATACAACTAACAAGAAACATAAAGGACCTCTTCAAGGAGAACTACAAACCACTGCTCAACGAAATAAGAGAGGACACAAACAGATGGAGAAACATTACACGTTCATGGTTAGGAAGAATCAGTATCGTGAAAATGGCCATACTGCCCAAAGTAATTTACAGATCAATGTTATCCCCATCAAGCTACCAATGACCTTCTTCACAGAACTGGAAAAAATTACCTTAAACTTCATATGGAACCAAATAGCCAAGTCAATTCTAAGCAAAAAGAACAAAGTGGGAGGCATCACACTACCAGACTTCAAACTATACTACAAGGCTACAGTAATCAAAACAGCATGGCACTGGTACCAAAACAGAGGTATAGACCAATGGAACAGAACAGAGACCTTGGAGGCAACACAACATATCTACAACCATCTGATCTTTGACAAACCTGACAAAAACAAGCAATGGGGAAAGGATTCCCTGTTTAATAAATGGTGTTGGGAAAACTGGCTAGCCATGTGCAGAAAGCAGAAACTGGACCCCTTCCTGACACCTTACACCAAAATTAACTCCAGATGGATTAAGACTTAAACATAAAACCTAACACCATAAAAACCCTAGAAGAAAATCTAGGCAAAACCATTCAGGACATAGGCGTAGGCAAGGACTTCATGACCAAAACACCAAAAGCATTGGCAACAAAAGCCAAAAGAGACAAATGGGACCTAATCAAACTCCACAGCTTCTACACAGCAAAAGAAACAGTCATTAGAGTAAATCGGCAACCAACAGAATGAGAAAAAATTTTTGCACTCTACCCATCTGACAAAGGGCTGATATCCAGCATTTACAAAGAACTCAAACAGATTTACAGGAAAAAAGCAAACAAGCCCAATCAAAAGTGGGCAAAGGATATGAACAGACACTTTACAAAAGAAGGCATACATGAGGCCAACAAACATATGAAAAAATGCTCATCATCACTGGTCATTAGAGAAATGCAGATCAAAACTACATTGAGATACCATCTCACGCCAGTCAGAATGGCGATCATTAAACAATCTGGAGACAACAGATGCTGGAGAGGATGTGGAGAAATAGGAACACTTTTACACTGCTGGTGGGAGTGTAAATTAGTTCAACCATTGTAGAAGACAGTGTGGCGATTCCTCAATGACCTAGAAATAGAAATTCCATTTGACCCAGCAATCCCATTACTGGGTATATATCCAAAGGATTATAAATCATTCTATTATAAAGACACATGCACACAAATGTTCACTGCAGCACTGTTTACAATAGCAAAGACTTGGAACCAACTCAAATGCCCATCGATGATAGACTGGACAGGGAAAATGTGGCACATATACACCATGGTGGGTAACAGCCCCACCTGTGTTATGAGATGATGTTTTAATCAATGTCTCTGCCTCTGTATCTTTTCTGAGGGCTTTGCTCCCTTCGTTCTAACAAAAGGTGTATTCTAGTGCTGGGTGCATGTCATCCAGGCTGATACTCTGCCCAGCTCCATTTGCGTTACTAGATCCCTTACCAGTCACATTTGTGGACTGGTGGTCGGTCATACTCCATCCCTGAAAGGATGCTGGGACACTCTTCCAGGGATTCATTGACCTCTTACCTCTTTTTCTCCATTTCTTTTGGGGGATGAGGAAATTGACCTTCCTAAAGTGCTATGCAGCCACAAAAAACAATGAGTTCGTGTCCTTTGTAGGGACATGGATGAACCGGGAAACCATCATTCTCAGCAAACTGACACAAGAGCAGAAAATCAAACACCACATGTTCTCACTCATAGGTGGGTGTTGATCAATGAGAACACATGGACACAGGGAGGGGAGCACCACACACTGGGGTCTATTGGGGGGAAATAGGGGAGGGACAGCGGGGATGGGGAGTAGAGGAGAGATAGCATGGGGAGAAATGCCAGATACAGGTGATGGGGAGGAAGGCAGCAAATCACACTTTCATGTGTGTACCTATGCAACACTCTTGCATGTTCTTCACATGTAACCCAAAACCTAAAATGCGATTAAAAAAAAACAACAAAAAACAAAAAGCAATATCCCACTTAGGAAGCCTAATTATATCTAGTTAATAAAGAACAAACAAACTTCTTACAAAAAGGTGAACGTAATCAAACTCTTATTTTATTTTAAATGTGCTGAATCTGAGACCAGTGATTAAATTTTTCAAAGGTGAAGTCTGAATGGCCCTATATGCCTTGAATTTAATGAATAGTAGGTTGCAGTGAATAGTTTATTCAACAAACATATTAAAGAAGCTTGGAAATGAGAAACCATGCTAATATTAATTTACTATTCAAAAGATGTGAGGCTCGAATGATTATTCAGGTAATGATTTTCATTTAGAGAAGAAAGAGATTTGAGAATATGTAACCAATCTATTGGAGGCCGGGAGGAGCTACAGGCAAGTTCTGGCCACAGTCATTCAATCATCAGTTATTAATTATCTATTTACGTGGCAAGTACTGTGCTAGGCAATGGCTATATACAAATAAAGAACTGAAACACTCATGAGCTAGTGAGTAGCAATGGAACAGATTATTGTAATGCACCATGCCAAATGCCATGGTAGAGGTGGCAACTAAGTACTCTATGGGAATGCAGAGTCACAAGATACTAGCTAGGAAAGTTTTTGTTTTTTTTTTTCTAGATAGAGTTTCACTCCTGTCACCCAGGCTGGAGTGCAATGACTCAATCTCAGCTCATTGCAACCTCCACCTCCTTGGTTCAAGTGATTCTCCTGCCTCAGCCTCCTGAGTAGCTGGGATTACAGGCACCCACCACCATGCCCAGATTATTTTTGTATTTTTTTTTTAGTAGAGATAGGGAGGGTTTTGCCATGTTGGCCAGGCTGGTCTCAAACTCCTGACCTCAG